CTGCTGGGAAGGAAACAAACAATAAACCTCCCAGATTTGGGGTGGCTTTACAGCTGCACTTTAAGCTCTGTTGGTTTTACAAACTTTTAAAAATAGGGCATTTGGAAAATGTCAGCACAGGATTCTTTGCCATCTTCTCCTTCCCCCATCTCTCACCACAGAGAGTCAAAAACCTTGATGGAAAATGCTTGGCAAAAACCTACAAAACTTCTGCCACCCTAAGAGCAAAACTGAACTTGCCCAGGAGAATGTTCAGGTCACAGTTTTGTTCCCTGGGGTAAAACTGAGGGGGAATCCTTTGCTGCTGAACACCCTGGCTCACTGTTCTTTGATTTTTATCATGGGAATTTCACTTTAAAAGTATAAGGAATTGCCATGTTTTCTCTCACAGATTTCAGAAAAATATGGGCTTCCTGAAGAAAGCATTTATAAAGTCTACAAAAAGTGCAAAAGAGGGTAAGCTAATCTCTCATCTGCTTTTATGCTGTGCCTCCACACCTGTCCTGTCCAGCCCCTGCCATTGGCTCCAAGAGCATTTTAACAAGATAATAAAAGGTAGAGCCATGTCAGGCTCTGCTATTTGGAGCATATAAAACTCAGATCTTTCTGGGCTTTAAAGATTTGGGATAGTGCTTGTTTGTATTCCATTTGTTTGGAGGGTAAAGTCTCCCAAGGAAAGGAAGTTGGGTGAAGGTGGAATTGTTTGGGGAGCGTAATGGTGATCCTTTGTGTCTCAGTCTAAAAGTCTGAGCTTATGGAGAACTTATCAGAGAGGGATCAGTGTTTGCTTCTCCAAAAAATGCTGGAATGTCCCTGGCTCAGATGCTCATAGTGAGCATCTGAATTTGTCAGGAGTTCTTCGCCTGTTGCTGATGCTGCTCATCCGTTAGCCTCAGAAATGGGAATTTTCTCCCCAAAGGAAAAGACCAGCACTGGAGGCTTCGGGGAGAGGCCACCTCACTCAGCTTGGCTTTGATTTTGTTCATGCCTTGATCTGATAAGCAGCGAGTGTTTGGTGATGACTGGGAGGGAAACCAGGCAGGAGGAGCAAAGAGGTATCTCATGGAAAGGAAAGGCCACGCCTGGAAATTAGATTAAATAAATAATTTTGACACCTGGTTTAATGAAGGCTGGACGTGACCCATGCCAGCAGCTACTGCTGAAGTGTGGGGAGATTGGAGATAGCTCCACTCTGGCTGGTGGCAGGGTCAGGCCCAGCTTCCTGCTCCCCCAGATTTAATTTTCAATAATTTTATCCTATTGCTCCACCCTAAACAATCTTCTGGTAATTACAGTTTGAGGGGCAGATCTTCATCTGGTGAGAGCCAGTGGAGCTCAGCTGGGGCTGCCTGGCCTGGCAGCAGGGCAGGACCTGCCCCAGCCATGGCCCTTCCACGGGGTGAGCTCAGCAGATGAACTCGGTCCCAGGGTGACTCAGGAGCGATACCGAGCCATTTTGGATCTTGGTGAGGTTTGGTCTGGAGGAACAATCCAGGGCTGATTCCTGATCAACATCCCTGGGATGGTTTGTGGTTCAGAAATCAGATGGGAGCACAGCACAGGAGGCACAGGTGGCTTCTCTGGCTCCCTGCTCTGAGACAGGCAGAGATAAAGGGATCAGCTCTGCTGCTGGGGAAGTTTTGGGTACCCACAGAGTCTCTCTGGGGCACCTGCTGGAGGCCAGAGCTGGGGTCCAGGGCTCGGGGTGGTGCTGGGGCTGGTGCAGCCGGGAAGATTCCGATGCACCGGGCAGACCCCGGGCAGTGCCAGACCCCCAGTCCCAGCAGCCCCCTGGAATTCCTGACTGTGCCATGACAGAGCTGCCAGGGTTGGTGACTGTCCTCTGCTGGATCTGCCCTTGTGTTGTGCCATGGCTTTAATTAATGAATTAATGGATTAACTGTGGTTGAGCCCCTCAGACTGGGGAAGGTGAAAAGCACATTGCTTTCAATGTGCTGCATCTGATCCAGCCATTCTTCTCCTCTGTAGGATCCTGGTGAACATGGACAACAACATCATCCAGCACTACAGCAACCACATGGCCTTTCTGCTGGACATGGTAGAGGCAGAGAACAAGTTCCAGATCATCCTCAAAGAGCTCTAAAGAGCTGCAGGCAGCACTTCCTGGGACTTCTCTCTGAGCTGGCACGTGTGACCCCACAGAACTCAGCCCTGTGCCTGCTCTTGTTGCCGTGACTTGAACCCCCACGGCCCTGGGGCTGGGCCAGACTGCTGTGAGATCATCCTGTGAACGTGGATCTGTTGAGTTTATTATTATTATTATTATTTTTATTATATTTTATTCCCTTCTGGCACTGGGCCTGAGCTGCCGTTTCAGGGCTGGGCACACGAAGTGACGCTACCAGGCCTGGGCAGAGAGCAGAGCTGGTGGCCTGGCAGTGGCTGATGCCAGCCCAGGCCTTGGCCTCCCCACAGACCCTGCAGGGCCTTCCCAGCAGGGCTGAGCCCAGCTCTGAGCTCCTCTCTGGCACAGACTCTCCCAGATGCAGTCACAGCTCCTGCTGAACGGACACTGCCTGCTGAACACCCTCCCTGCCACATCTCTGACTGTAAATACCACGGAGGCCTCCACAACCCCTGTTTATACATTTCTGTGTTGTTCCTTTTGTATTTTATATGTGTATAAATATTCATTGTTTTATACTGGACTCAGTATGGTGACACAGAGCATTTCAAACACAGGCTGCTTCACATTTCTCCGTGAACTCCTTTTGTAACTGTGTTGTTGGTTGTTTGTTTTGGATATTCTGTAGTAATAAAGGCTCAAGAACTGAAAATGAACCATGTTCCCCAGCTCTGGAGTCAGAGTTGGGATGGGCTGGCCAGGAGCTGGGGCAGGGAGGTGACCCCAGAGGCACCAAAAGGGCTCCAGGATGGTTTTGGCCAAGGTCTGTCCCCCCTGCAGCCACCATGTCCAGCTGTGTCACCAGGTGTGGCAGGGTCCCTGAACTCCTTACACTCCGTGCCCAAACTGCCTCAAGCTGCTTCCCATTTAGGTCATCAGATGCCAAGGGGAGCCCTGTATTTCCTAATTAATCCTCTGACCAATAAAAACCAAGGCCTTTCCTCCTCCCTCTTCATCCTCTGCTTTTCCTGGCCATGCTGAAGATGTACCTGAGGCCTGTGAGTGGGGAGGAAAGAGCCCTGGGAAGGGGATTTGGAAATGTTGGAATGTGCCAGCTTGGTAAGTTTTGGATTACTTCAGTACTGTTTGAGGATGGCCTCTAAGATGAAGCACAGATAAGCTAAAGCTTTATCAGCCTTTGGGATCTCTCCAGCACTCCTGCCCTTCAGATCACAAACTCCTTCTTCAGCAGGATGGCTCTGATTCAGTGTTGATTCTGTGAGTCCTCCCACAGCAGAATGTCAGCTCCAGTTAAAGCCAGTCCCACCAGGAATGCCCCAGTGCTCAGTGTCACCGGCTGAAAGCTGCAGGTCCCCTGTCCCCTGCTGTGTCAGGGGACTGTGGGGACCCTGCCCTGGGACGGCTCCGTGGCAGGACTGGCTCCAGGTGCTCCCAGCCAGGGTGGCCCTGTCCTGCCCGGCCCTGGGGACAGGCAGAAGCTGCTCAGGCAGGGACAGAGGGAGCTCTGGCAGTGGGGACAGTTGGCTCTGCTGTGCAGGACAGACGGGGCGGGCTGCAGGCTGCCCTGGCCTGTTGTGTGCAGGTGGATTTGGGGGGTTTGGGGCCCTCTCACCCCTCAGTGAGTTGCTCTGAAAGTCTGATCTTCCTGCCAGATAAACATTTACCTATCTGAGCCTCAGTTCCTCCAGACTCCCTCATGACTCCAGCCGCACTACTCCTAAGTTACAACAGCAAATGCCATCTCAGTTGTAACTTTATGTTCCCAGCAGAACCAAGATGAATTTTGCTGGATGTTATGGGGCTCCCTTTCCTACAAACCCATCCTGGGTTTTGCAGGGTGAGACCCACGCAGAGGCTGCAACTCCCTGAGCCTGCTCTGTGAGAATGACTCCCCCCTCTGGGGCTGGGATGGAGGCAGAGAACCGGGAGCTTTTTCCGTGCAGCTCTGGGTAATCCTGGCTGTGCCGGGGCTGAAGTCCCGGTGCCGGGAAACGCTGCCGGGGCAGAGTCCCCAGCCCTGCCCGGCGAGGTGGGTGTTTTGCTGACTGGCTCAGTATCGCTCATCCCTTCCAGCCAAGGCGAGTTGCTGGGAGGTTGCGTAAAGCAGAGCTCCCAAATATGTGAGAGCATTCCTGACTCCTTGCCCGGAGCCCACCAGTTCCTTTTGAAGATTGAGATAGGAGTGATGAAGGCGATTTTCACCCCGAGCACCAAAGGTCGTGTGAAAGCACCGAGTGTTTGCTCAGGGCTCCCCGGGAGCTGCCCGGGCCCTGCTCAGAACCTCGCCCGAGCTGCTCTGGGCCTGCCAGAGGGGGGGTGCTGAGCACAGGGTGTGTGACAGACCCCAGTGCCCGTCCCTGGGCCAGCAGCATCTGCCCTCTGCCCTTCTCCCTTGTTCCCACCCTGGCCAGGACTGATTCCCTGGCTTCCAGCACTGGGAGCTCTCAGCAAAACACAGAGAAGCCCAATGCTTGTTTTAATTACTCAACATCTACAAAACTGGAAGCTTTCAAACCAATTTGAGTTAATGATCATCGTCCAATTCTTAGAACAGAGTAGCACTAATTAGCTGCCCGTGAGCCAGCTCTGGCAGGCCAGCACAGGCCTGCTCGTGGTGTGCAGAGTCTGAGGGAAACCCTGACTCAGGAATGCCACTCTGGCATCCCAGCTGGGGAGGAAGGAAAACTTCCCCTCCTGGTGAAAAAGTGCCCACAGAGACAGAGATGCATAAAAAGGAGCAGCAGGCTGAGAGCAGAGTTGTGCAAGAACTCTGGTATCCCCAGTGCTGGGTGGAGGGCTCTGCTCCTCACTTCTACAAACAACACCCAGTTTCTGTGTCTTTATTCGTGCTTATTCACTGCTTGCATCATCAGGCAGGCAGCTGAGGAGCTCAGTGTGTGGTGTGGCTCTGCAGGGCTGTGAAGGAAAAACAGCATCCTGTGTTTTGTTGTGACACCCACACGCCGTGTCCGGAGGTGTCCTGGTGCTGTGCTGGGCATGGGAGGAGAGGATTAAAGTCAGGGGAGTCAAACCCTGCCTGCATCTGTTTATAAGTGTGCAAAGCTTTAATAAACCAGCTCTCATTTATTTCCCCAGGTAGCGCCTTGGATTTATAGAATTAAATTTTGGATGAGTTGGGCACTAGAACCCCCAGATGTGTGGGAATCCTGGAATCATCAGCTGGAAGGTGGCCACAGAATCGGAGCTCAGTGCTCACAGTCGAGGTGCACAGACCTGGGATTCACCTCAGCGAGCTGAGGGCTGTCCTGGCTGCACTTTTGGCTGGGAGTCCTGGGAATGCTGAGGCAGCCCAGGCATGAACTGCTGAATAACCAGTCTTTGGTAAAGCTGCTGCTCTGTGTCAGCCCCTGAATTGTGATTTTGCCTCCCTGTGGCTCTGTTCTCTGGGGCACGGCCCAGAGCAGCTCTGTGTGTTCATGCACTGGTGTGGCATTGCAGGGTTTCTGATCCACTTGGCATAAAGGACTGATGAAAAGCAGGCTCCTGTCTGCTCTCCCAGCAATTCAAAACCTCCCAGAAGGACCTGGGGATCTTAGAAGGGATAAACAGGGCAAGATGTGAGTGTTATCAACTGAAAAAATCATGTTAGCTGTGCCTGGCAACAACGAGCCAACGGGCACTGAGGGATCCGACAGGATCCCACAGCTCCACCCTGGGATGAGCTGGGCAGGGATCCAGGCAGGGAAGAACTGACCAGAGATGGGTTTGTGGCTGCATCTGCCTCTGTCTTAGCAGTGCTGCTGTCAGGGTCGGCTTCCAGCTCTGCAGCTGCCCACTGCTCTGCCAGGGGCTGTGTTTAACCCATTCCTCTCTGAGGTGGGTCCTGCTTCCCCAGGCTTTTCCTGATTCCAAGCCACAGGATGTGTTTCTTCTCCCATTTTCACTCAGTTTTCTGGTGAAGCCAGAGCAAAGGGGTGCTGGGGGTTCTGATGCTGCTCTGTGCCCCCACCGTGTCCCCTGCAACTGCTCCCCTCTTCCCATCGAAGAGAGGAATTCTGCAGCTGGAATGTGTTGTACCAACACTCAGTGATGTGAGTTTTACACACACAGAACTCACAGAACCTGTTTGTCCAAAGCCCTGACAGTCAGTGATGCTTTAATGGCCTTTACACTGCAAACATGCTTTTATTTTTTTCAACCTTACCTTTAAAAATAATATTGTAAAATATGAATCAGCCAAGCTGGACAAGGAGCTGGTAAGTGAGGACTCCAGAGCTGCTGTGTGGCCCTCAGGGTGGTGTTTAATCCTTCTAAACCTAAATCTTGGGGAAATGAAGTGCTTTGGGAAAGGAGTGCTATGGACAGCCTGTGATGGTTATTGTAAAATGCATGGATTTGCCATGGTCCAGCCTTGCAGAGAGCTGGCTGCTCCCCCCTCCAGGCAGTGCTGGAACAGGACAGGGATGCCCAAGGACCCCAGCTGAGAGTCCCTCCTGCTCTCCCACTGCCTGGGACAGCATTGGGAGCCGGCTCTAACCCCGGCAGCTGGGTGTGGAGTGTTTGTGTGTTTTCTGATAACAGGCTGGGGATCTTCCCTCCTCATATTTAATTTGCCCTTTCCTCCAGCCCTCTGTCCTTATCAAATCCCTTCTGGCATTGCTTCCCTTCCAGCTTCCTTTTCCCCAAAGCCCTGATAGAAAATCCAGCTGCTGAGAGATGTAGTAAAGATTTCCCTGTTGAGTAAGGAGAGCCCTGGGCTTTCTCATGGGCTCATTCTTTTCCAGGGTCAGGAATTTATTGATGATCTTAATCTCAGGCCTGAAACGTCACTTCATGGTGACAATAAATGTTTTTGAATGATCTGCTGATAGAATTATTTATCTTCCCATGAGGATCCCAAGGGGTGGGAGGGCTTGGGAGAAGGGAGTTTCTGTTCATGCCTTTTCATCCCTCTGAAGTGGTGGCAGGATGGAATACCTGGGAATGGCAGTTCTGGCTTCCAGGGAGCACTTTTACAAGCCTCTCTCCAGCAGGGGCTGGGGAAATGGCCAGCTTTTATCCCTCAGCTGCCTTGGGAGGCTGTGCAGACATGAGTGTCCCTCACCATTCCTGCCCCGGGGTCCCCACATTTGGGTCTTTATCCTCAGTGTTCCTCTGGGGAGTGTTCAGGCACAAAACCAGCCCAGCCTAAAGCCTCTGCTCGGGATATGAGGAATCTCTCCAGGTCAGGTGTGCTCTGGCTTCTTGCTCCATGGATAAGAAGTGGCCCCCACATCCCAGGGTGGTGTAGGTTTAATTACTGTTTGTAAATGTCTGGGAGATCAGCTGATAAAGGGCCCCTGATCCACTGCTCCAGGCTGTTCCCAACCCACACTGCCCTTCCAGGCACTCCCACCTCCCAGCCACTTCCTGGGGACAACAGCCATCCCCGTTGGACCAGGACACTCTGGGATCACCCTCCTGTGATGGATTTTCATGTATCCCATGGCACTGATGTGTCTTCCAGGCTGCACTCACCTGGAAGGAGTTTTCTTTGCTTCCCTGGTAGGTTTGTGTGGCTGAGGCTGCAGCCTCTGGAATGAATCTGGAGCAAATTCCTTGATCCTTGTTAGGTGGGAAGGTCTTGACTGGAAGGAAGATGTTATTCCCTTGGTGAGGAAATCCATGTTGGGATGACCTACAAACAGGAAAGGGATGTAAATACCAGCCCAGGCACTGAGGAAGGAGAGTGCATCCAGCAGGGAATGTGAGAAAGGAAAGAACCGGTGTGACAGGGCCATGTGGGGAAGCTGCTGCTGGATTGGAAAAGTGCTGGGCAGAGCTGATTTCCAGGGACACTGATAAGGCAACACTGAACTCAGTCCTGAGCTCAGGAACCATTAGCAATTACAGGGAATCAAACAGGACAGCTCCCAGCTGGTGGCAGCTGCCAGATAAACTCTGTGCCCTCAGCCCAGGTCTCACCCTCAGCAGGCAAAGGGCCAGGAGATCTCTTGAAGCTTGGTGCATTATGCACTAGTGTGGCTTCTCCTGCAGCCTGTGGCATTTCCAGTGTTGTGAGGTGTTCTGGTTATTCCTTACAGCTACTCCAAAGTCCCAGGGGGGTTCTGGATTGTTCTCCCAGCAGAGGCTCAAAGGTACCTTCCCAGAGCTCATGGAAGTGTCCTGTGACACTTCAGCCCAACATGCCCTAAGGAGCTCTGATCTGTGTGTGAAGGTGCTCCATGGGGGAGCAGAGCCAAGGTCAGCAGCACCGTCCTCCCCCCCAGCTCCAGGCTCACAGACGTGGAGAAAGCCATTTCCCAAACTTTTCCAAATTAACTCCTCTTGTGGTTTGGGCCACAAACACTGCCAGGGCAAAAGTGGCGTTGCTTTGCTTGCAGAAATGGTGAGTTTCAGAAGGAAAAAGGGCTTGGGGATGTCTTTGAATTGCCTTTACCTGTGAGTGATGACCAACAAAGGCAAACCCACATTTCAAAGCCAGATGTCTCCTGTGAGTGGTTACAGCTGCCAGCAGCACTCACACCAAAATCTGAGAGAGCTTCCCAAGGGTAGGAAGAGCTCTCTGTGACTGCCCAGGACTTGACACTCTGGCAGGAAATGTCTCTGTGTGTGGCTGTTGTGTCCACAATCCTCCATCACCTCCACATGTCCGATTTTGTTCAAGGCCCCAGAATTCCAGGAGAGGGAATTTCAGGAATCTGTGGTGCCAAGGGTTGTGTGAGTTACCCCAAATCACAGAACAGATCACAGTGACATGGGACAAAATCCTTCAGATTGCCAGGATGAAGCTTTAGCTCCTGCAACCTCCTCTGGGATTTAAACTTTTATTTGACTTTTCTAATGGCTGTGATGAGAGGAAGCATCTGATGGCCAGGCCTCACTAAGTGATGAGGGAGTGTTCAGTTCAAGCTGGAGAGGAGAGGGGCAAGAAAACCCCTGCATTACAGACTCAAACACAAAAAGATTATGCTTTTCTATTTTTTTCCCCCCTTGTTTCCTATGGCAAGCTGGTGAAATGCTGAGATGTTGAACTGCCTTTGTTGTAACACAGGGTTTGGTCCCAGAGCTGAGGATGGCTTTGAGGTCAGTTTGGACACCTTTTCCTTGTTTCTCACTCCTTTTTCCCCCCTCAGTTTTAATCTGTCACTCAAAAACAGATCTTCCATTGACTACACAAAAGTTCCTTTTTGCTGAGTGAGAGCAGCGACCACGAAACTGGAGGATCTGTCCACCTTCTTTTTGAGATATCTCTTTGTCTATAGTCATAAATTATCAGCCACTGCCATCTTTTAAATAGATAGTTTCCTGTTCTGCCTCTTGTAGGTTAGATATTATCTCCCCCAGTAAATCATGAGTCAGTGATTAATTCAAGAAGGCCGTTCCCAGAAGCAAATTCTTACAATGTTAAAATTAATACGATGCGGAGCCATTATACCATGATAGAGAAAATAATTATGGCCTGCAAACCAGTTTAATCAACAGAGAGCATGCTGGGGCAGGTGCTCGGCCTGAGTCACTGCAGCAGAGCTCGGAGCCCCAGCGCAGGGGCTGTGTGAGTGAGCAGGATGGCGGCAGCTGAGCCCCGCGACCGCTCCGCGCGCTCTCTGCCCGCCCAAACTGGGAGGGAAAACACCTCTGGTGATGTAGAAACACCACCAAGTGACTATAAAAGCATGAATTGCTTCAGGAGCGTGCGTGCAGCCAGTTAAGGTGTCTCAGCTGATGAGTGGCAGCTTATTAAGCTGATTAGGTTGTGTGTTCACTCGGTGTTAAGCGGCTCTGCGAAGTCATCACATATTCTGCAGTCTGCCTCAGCACAGGGCATGGGGCTGCTCTAGGAGCACTCTGAGAGGAGACAATTCACTGGGGAATGGCTCAAAACTGGGGAAAAACTCAAAAACTCCCTCTAGAAATAACAAAACAATCACAAAGCAATCCCAGCTACAGCAAGATGCCACAAAAGGGACAAAGCAGCCCAGGAGGTGTGTGTATGTTATTATAAACCATCTGATAATGGCTAATGACACTCGGTGTTCTGTTAACAGCTCCCACATCTCAAAACACCCTGAATTCCTGTGGATGAAGGCTTACAACACCCCGTGCAGCCCGGGCACCTGCAGGGCTGGGCAGCAGGCACAGAACAGTTAAGTGACTTGCACAAGGGTGAATCAGCAGGACTTGAGGAACTCAACCTGAAGGTAGGTGCTGAGCTGGAGGAACTGGCACAGCTCCTCAGCAGTGCCACCAGGAGTGACCCTGCACCCCCTGAGCCCAGCAGTGCCACCAGCTGTCACCTGCCAGTGCCTGTTTTAAAGTTAGGGTGGCCAGAACCAAACCCACCATTCCAGCAGCACCAGCGCTGGTATTACTGTATTTCCTGTTTTGCTTTCCAAGTCACACAAATTTCATGCTTTAATTTTAACTGTACATCGAGGTAGGTGCCTTCAGAGTTTCAAAATTTTAATCCTTTAATGCAAGCCTCCTGTTGCATGGAAAGCTGAGTGATTCTGGGGATGAGGAAGATCAAATTTCTCTGCTGTGCACAGGGCAATTTGTATAGACTGGGAGCCACAGTACATCTAAAATCCCACCTGTAAGTTCTGAGCTGGGCTTAATTAATGCAGCATGTGGGCCGAATGCTTTATTTGCAGTACCACACCTTTCCTGCCTCCCTTCTTTTCCTGGGCTTTTCAAAAAGAGGACTGGGCAGGATTCTATTTATAGAGCCAAATAAATCCAGCCCTGCCTGTGTTGTACGTGATCCCTCCAGCTTTTCAGATGTGGTCCCAAGAAGGGCTGAATGCCCTTCATGTCCTACCTCTGCCAGTGGGAACTGGAAGGTCTGGGACTCTAGAAGATAAAAGAAACAGCTTTATATTAACACAAATGTGAAATTATTCCAGTGTGTAGGATGGGGAGAGCTGAAGTTCCTGGTCTTTAGGAACACTGTGTGAACTTCATTAATTGTCTTGTCTGCCAGTTACCAATGGAAAACACTCTGGAGGCGCCTTGGTTCCTGTTCTGATGACTTGAGAGCTGGATTTTGGCAGTGATCTGATGTCCCCTCCCTGAATGGCACAGGAGGCAGAGAACAGGGGAAGGCCTGGGATTGAAGAATGAGGCAATGGGCAGCTGAAGGGCAAATGAAGCAGTTGGGGCACAATTGCACATACAGACATGAGGATGAAGGGATTTAACTGTGTTTGGCAGGAGCAGGGAAGGAGCCAGCCTCAAAGAGGGGGAATGGAGGAGGCAAGGGCTGATTAAAAACCCCATCCAGATGGAACCTGTGCTTGGCCACAACAGCAGCAACCCTGGAATGACTCAAAGCCCTCAAGGAACAACCAGGGATGGCTGGGAGAGGAATGGAGGCTCCTGCTCTGCTTGGCCTTACAAAAGGCTGAGGGGAAGAGTGGCAGGGAGTGGGCAGGCCGTGCTGGCTGCTGCAGAAGGTGCTGATTTACAGTGAGATCATGGGGAACTCCTCCTGCTCCGTTTTCTTCCCTCAGCTGAGCTGTTCCTGGTGCATGCACAGACAAGTGGAACCATGCTACTATGGTGCTAAAAATAACAAACCCCAAATACAGGCTATTCTATGAAAGCTGGGAAAACTTTGCAAGGAATCAGACCCCAAGAAATCAGTCTTCTGGTGGATTCAGCCTTTCCTGTAAAAATGCCCCAAGTTATCAAGCAGCTGAGCACAAATCATCTTTTCCACTTCTTTTTCTTTGTAAGAAAACACTTCAGGACAGACCAAAATGTGAGGTGTGTGATGCAACTCTGTGAATTTCAGCTGAGCTGCTCTGACTTGGGCCGCTCCAAAATTACGGGAGAATTCTGGAGATGAGGTCTGAGGGTTCATCTGCAGGGAGCAGGGATCCTGAGCCAGCTGCTCCTTATCAACAACCAGAACCAGAAGAAGAGAGCCTGCACTGCTCTGGCCATGGGGTCCATCTCCACATGGCCCTGCCATGTGCTTGAGGTTGTCCAGCCTGTGCTCCGTGGCCAGCGGGGTTGTGCTGAGGGAAGCAGGACCTGCCCAATTCTGCTGGGGCTGGTTATTAAAATCACAGCAGGTTTCCAGAGGAACTGATAAAAAACTGCATCCGCAAGCTCCTTCTGCCCTGGTGCTGCCAGGCTTGGCTGCTGCTGCCCAGCCTGAAGGGCTGGATGCAATCCCTGCCCAGCAAGAGCAGCTCCTGCTGGGCAACACGTTCAGGGGAAAGGCTCCAGAGCCCTTCTCCCCTCCTGTGCATCCAGCTCTGGGCTTGGCACATCCGTCATCACCCCGGTGCTGCTGGGGGTAACTGGAGATCAGGCACCCCCACAGCCTTGGAGATTCAGCTCCCGCACACCTCAGAGTGCCAGGAATTGTGTTTGGGTGATGCCAGGGACACCCAGCAGCTCCCAGCCCCAGTGGCTGGGTCGTGCAGGCAGGGGTGAACTGGCAGAGTGACACAAGTGGGTCAAGTCACCTGCTGGGTGTTCTAGGTCAGGCACTGAGAGGCAAATAAACTCTCTCCACTGCTTAAATTACAAGCGGGTAACTTCCTGTCCTGGCATTTATCCCTGACTCAAGGAATGTGCTCCAGAATGGCTGAGGGGGACACAGCCAAGTCCTTCAGGTGGGGAAAACCCAGTCAGCAGCCCCCAGAAGGTCTGGTGTTGATGGGTACAGTGCCTCCCCTCCTGACCTGCTGCAGGAACTCCTCTCCAGGGATAAAGCCTAGGAGAGAAGCAGCCAAGCCCTTGTGTAGTTTGTGGTTTGGCCTCCTGCCCACTCTGCCCTTCAAGCAGGAAATTCTCAAAGGGAAGGGAGTGCTTTGAGAAGCTCCCTGCAGACTCTGCTCTGCTTTAGTCACAGCTCAGCATCAGGTCAGCTGGCTCTGCTGGAAGCTGACCAGGCAGACTGATGGCGCCTACAGAAAGTCTTTAAGCAACTTCTCCACCTTGGTAATTTTTCCCTCATCTTTTTTTTTTTTTTTTTTTTGTTCTTTTACGTCCTTTTTTTTTTTTTTTCAACCCTGAGATAATGCACTCCTGATATCACTGAGATGGGAGAGACAAGCAAGGAGCAAGAGATCAAAGGAAAAAGAAGAAAGAGAAGATGCTAAAGGCAGGAGAAGAAAGAGGGGAAGATGCCAAACATTTCCTTGATTTACCTACTTTGCATACCCGGTACCGAGTTTCAGAAATCCTTCCTGTACGTAATTTTGGGAGTTCTGGGGTTAGCACGCAGTCCCCAGACAGCGAGAGGCTGTGGAAGGGCATCCTCCTCCCCCCCAGCTGAGGAAGCAGCTGGGAAGGTGCATCCAGAAAGCCCAGGAGGCCCTTGGCACCTGCGAGCGTTGGCTGGGAAAGCGCTGCGGGTTTAACGCATCCTTCTGCTTCCCTCTGCTGGTGGAAGGAGGGTGGAATTCCTGAAAATCTGGGATCCGAGAGGCGTCACCCCTGGTGGTGTCCCCGCACACGGATTAACTGCTCCGAGTGCTGGAATGTGCGTCCTGGAGGGCTCAAACACCTGGGACAAACAGGGCCGGGGCTGGTGGGTGGGAGACAGGGAGGTGGCACAGGTGAGATCATCCACCTGGAGCCACTTCCAGGCTTAAACCACTCGTGTTGAATTGCCACTTCTCCTTCCATTATCAGCTGTGATTAAAAAGTTAATTTAATGACCTTGATCTAAACTTGGTTGTTATTCTTGTCACAGAACAGGATCATTATCAGTGCAAAAAAAAAACCCTCATAAGCTTCAAGCATTTTTGTTACTTGGTTATACTGAAATCCCTGTGATTGAGACTTAAATATTTTTTTTTCCCCCAGTTTGAGATCCCTTTCCTGTGGTGTTTGTAATAAAATCTTGAAACCTAAGAAGAGCAGCAAGGATAACAACATTGAATATGGAGATGGAGGAAACATGTGAACACAACAGCAGCTTTCCTTTGAAATGGGATTGTAAGAGAAAGGCAAATCCAACATTAATGCAGTATTCCCACCAGAAAACCAGCAGTCATTCCTGCATTTCATTTCCCTGGCTTATTTAAAAATACCCTTGGAAGCATTGCTGTTGATGGATAATTTATTTGACTGCATTTCTTATTCCCTTGTGCTAGTTTATCCCCCAGAGGAGGAATTCTGGGCCTGGAACTCCTCTAACCCACTGTGGCTATAAACCGTTCCAGATACCCCTTGATTTGCTCCAGTAACAAACCCTGGCTGTGCTTTGAGTGAAAAACCTTGGCGTGGTTGAGGTTTTCCCCCTTCAGCTCCACACTCACTGTGGTAAGTGCAGTTTATTTTCAGGACATGGCACCGAGTGGGGCTGTTCTGCCAGAGGTACCTTGTGCTCCACAACATCCCTGAGCTGGAAAGGCGGGGATCGGCCACAGACACGTCCAGTGTCACCACTTAGGGCACAGCCGGGATTTTGTTTCTGCTCTGAACGTGCAGCAGGGCCGAGGCTCCAGAGCTCAGCCACGGCCTTTGCTGTCTCCATGGAGAGAAGCCGGCGCTCGGGGCGATGGCTCGGGGCGGGAGGAGCCCAGGTGAGGGATGAGGTGAGGGATGAGGTGACGCCCTCAGGTGAGGCCCCGGAGGCGCCACCGGAAATCGCCTCACGCCGCAGCCGCGCCCAGGTGAGGCGGCGCTGGGACCGGCGGGTGGGTACCTGAGCGGCTGAGGAGCACCGGGGACATGCCCGACCCTGCTCAGGGGCGGTGTGCGCTCTGTATCCGCCCGTTCCTGCCGGTCCGTGCCCGTTCCAGCCGGTGCCTGCCCGGCCTCGGCGGCACCGGGAATGCGGACACCCGGTGCCCGAGACGACAGCCGCCTCAGCGCTCCTCCAATCACCGTGCCTGTTACTCTGAGCGCTGCGGCAGGCGCCCAATCACAGAGGAGCTCTCAGCGCCACCGCGGCTGGCTTAAGGTGGCTCGGCGGAGGCGCTTCGCGCATGAGCCTTAAGGCGGCTCCGGCTGCTGTTCGCGCCACCGGGAGGGCGGAACGGGTCCCACCGGGGCAAACCGGGGAAAGGCGCGGGGCCGCGGCTGTCCCTGCAGCCCTGGGCCGGGGAGCGCACCGGAGCTCCGGGCGGGGCCCGTGGGACCGCCTCGTCCTGCTCCAACTGAGCGGCGGAACGCGACTTCTTCTGTCCGGCCCCTCAGAGCCCTGCGTCCATAGGCTGGGCCAGACCCCGCCTCCGTGCGACAGCCAATCCTCACCCCCATCTTTGCGCCGGGCTTTGATTGACAGCGCTGCGGACCAATCGGGTGCGCCGGGCAGGAAGCGGCGGCGCTCGACCGGGAGCCGGAGTTGGAGGCCGGGCCGGGGCCGGTGAGCGGCGGGGCCGCCCCGCGGGGCGCGGAGGGACGGGCGCGGGGCCGCAGCACCGGCGGCTTCGGTGGGAACCCCCCGCGTCCCGGCCCGGGGGTGTGCGGGCGCTCTGCCTGCCCGGGGTGGGTGCCGCAGCACGGGCGGTGTGCGCGGCTCGGGCCGGGGATGCTGAGCGAGCCCGGGACGGTCCCGGCCGGGGATCCGCTCCGGGCAGGGCAGGGCCGGTGCTGCTCCCCGGGGTGCTACGGGGAGCTCGTGCGGTGCCCTCCGGACGCCTCCAGCCCGCTGGGCTCCGGGGGATTGCGGCTCTGGGCAGTGCGGGCTGCGGGAGGGGCTCTGCTCGTGGGGATGGGCTGGTCGCGGAGCGCTGGTCCCGAACAAACTGGAGCTTCAGGGAGGAGGGACGTGAAAAGCAGAGCTTGGAGGATTGAGAGCCTTTGTGATGCTGTTAAATGCCAGCTGAGTGTGTCACCCCTGGGGCCCAGCCAGTTCACAAGAGCTTGTAAAGCAAAGCCTCTGTGAATCTCTGTCCAAGGCTTTCTAAGAAGATATTTAAAATCTGCTTTTCTTTTTTATGTGCTGCTCTGAGTTTGATTCCAGAGGCATTTCTGTGGCCTATCCTCCATTGCAGGTTTTGGACCACTGATTTTGTGGTTTTTTTTTTTTTTAAATCTAATTCTTTGGGTTTTATTTCTTTTTTTTCCCCCCTTAGATTCATCTTGAAGGAACATAACCCTGCTGCTTCACTGACTCGCTGGAAACAGTGGCTGATCTAAAGGGAAGCAGCAGGACTCATTTGTGCTTCCCTGAACTTGCCCAAGGGAACGGATGGATGGCAGGGAGCAGTACCAAACATTGCTTCCAGCAGGGTCCAAATCTCTTCCTTAGAGAGAACTTCCAGCATCAAGAAAGCTGAAAAGCAAAGGCAAAACCCCAAAATGGAAGGAGGAAACAGCCCCAGCCTGCAGCTCCAGCAGCTCCCGCTGGCCACAGCAGCAGTTTCTGTGCAGCCACACACAGACTCCTTCTCCTACAAGGTCAGCTTCTACCCCAGCAGGAAGGTTTCCACCCCCAGAAGGTCCTGATGGCAGTAATGAGCTGATAATGATGCTGCTTTGGGGTTATTTTCTGCAGAAAGGGCTCAGGGAATGGGTTTAGCCATTCCTGGGGTGTCATATCCTGCGCTTAGTGAGAGAGAAATTGTGTGCCTGCAGAGCAGAGGAGCTGGAGGAAGGTGTGGAAGTGGAGATGTTTGGGTGCCGTGATTCCTACAGGTGCCTTTTCAGCCTCAGCCACGCAGCAGTGACAGAGCAGAGGTTCTGCTTTGCTCTGTGTGTTCAGGTGTTTGAATTTCTGGGGGTGAGCCCACAGCAGAGGCTGCAGCTGCCTGGGACTTGGGGCTGCAATTCCTCCTTGTTCTCCAGCTGGGGGCAGATAAATTCCTTCTGGATCCCTGGATTTCTGCTCAGGAAATCTCAGCAAAAAGGGGTTTTTCTTTTCCTTTGTAATCACAGTCCTGGGCCCTTGTGGAAGTTGACCCTGTGGCTTGTCACAGCCCAGAGAACTCTGCACTGTGGTCACACAGTGACATCCTCCTGCCACCCTGGGAGCCTCTCGGGTGGTTTTGAGTGAAGCTGTTTGGGTGAATCTTTTTTTTTTTTTTTTTTTGTGTATTCTGAGGAAGGTGTTTTTGTTCTGCTGCTAAGAATTTGAAATCTGGAAGTTCTTCTGTATATGAGAAAATCAAGATTAGTCCATTTATTCCTATTCACTTCTGAATGTGAGCTGGGTTGTCCCAAATCAATCCACGTAAGGACTGGGCTGAGAGAACAGTGCTAATGACATTTAATGAGATTTAGGCAGTTTTGGGAGCACACAAATATTCAGTGGCCTCAGGCTCTTCAGTCCTCCTCTGCACCTCCTTTGTGACTCAGCCTGCTTTACATCCTTTCTTTATTTCAAATTCCATCTTTAGAGCGTGAGAATTGTTGCTGGGCTTTGAGTGCCAGTGCAGAAGAGGTTGGGAGCTGTCAGCAGTCTCCTGTGACTTTGAGAATAACTGGTTTATACGAAAAGCAGATTAAAATCTGTGATAATTGGACTGCCTCATCACATGGGCTGAATCAGTGACTGAACCACAAATGGAGAAGATGAAAATAGTTGGGAAGAGTGATTCCTGATCCATTCTCTGTCAAATTCCAGGGCAATAAAATCCTCATAAATGTGTTTTTCAGAGGGAAGAATGAGTGATGGCGTGGGGCTTTTTTAGCCTTATCTTCCTCCTCTCTGAGAAACTGCAAACTAATTGAAGTCTCTTGGAGAAAGTGGCTGTTGAGTCTTATCTTCCAGCTGAGGTCACAGGTCTGGAGCACAGCCAGAGCACTTATGTGAGCTGCCCCAGATCAGCAGGAAGGGAGGAAGATAAACAGGTTTTATTGACAGCTGGGTGTTGGACCAGATGACCTTTAAAGGTCCCTTCCAACCCAGGCTGTTCCACGATTCAGGAATGGTTTAAAAGTCTGCTCTCCTCCAGAGTGTGCAAACCCCTCTGGGTTCCTTGACTAAATGTAATAATTGTGTGTTCCCTTTGTTTCTGCAGGAGAACTTGATTGGGGCACTTCTGGCTATTTTTGGGCATCTTGTCAGCAGCATTGCCCTCAACCTCCAGGTGAGTGCCCTGAAGCAAGCACTCATCCTGCCTTGAAGTAAACACTCAAAGGTGACAAAGCTGCTTTATTTCTGTTTTCTTGCCTAGAAATACAGCCACATCAGGCTGGCAGGCTCCAAAGACCCCCGGGCCTACTTCAGAACCAAGACCTGGTGGAGTGGATTCCTGCTGCTGGTGCTGGGAGAACTGGGAGTGTTCTCCTCCTATGCCTTTGCTCCTCTTTCACTGATTGTGCCCCTCAGTGCAGTGTCTGTTGTGGGTAAGCAGGAAGGAGCCCGAGTGTGTTCCAGTGGGAGATTCCTGACTCCAGAATTCACTGTTTCTTTCTCCTTTTTTTTTTTCTCATAGCTAGTGCAATCATAGGAATTATATTTATTAAAGAAAAATGGAAGCCCAAGGAATTTTTGAGTAAGTTCCAGTTTCTTTTCATTTTTCTTCTGTGTTTACAACTCATCACACACAGCGTGGGCCCTCAGGAATTATAATTACAGGGATGGCAAGGTCTCATTAGCACCTCCTGGACAAAATGTGTCATCTCATCCATTGTTTATTACAAACTAATGTCTTTTTTCCTGGCTTGTGCCAAATCCCCTGAACCTCACAGAATTCAGAAACAGGCTGAAGCTGCAGCACAGGCACAAGGGAATGAATTCCATGAACATGGAGGTGTTTGCAGAAGTGGGGCTGTGGGCAGGATCACAGATCTTGTAGCTTTATTTATGTAGCAGATGCCACCTGGTACCAACTGCTCCCACACACTCAGTTGCCCCAGGAATGGCACCCAGAGGAACATCCACATGTCAGTGATGGTCCTGAGGGATTAATTCATTAATTCCATGCATCCCCCTCCCTCATTAATGCTGTCCTCTCCTGTTCCTGTGCCTGCCCAAGGGCGCTACGTGCTGTCCTTCGTAGGCTGTGGCCTGGCAGTTGTTGGCACTTACCTGCTGGTGACATTTGGACCCAACAGCCATGAGAAGATGACAGCAGAAAACATCACCAGGCATTTAGTGAGCTGGCCATTCCTGCTCTACATGGTGAGGGGCCATGGAGGGTGGGGGGTTTTCTCCTGGGGACACTTTCATTTACAATATTATTTTTCCTTTGGTGTTCCTTGTGTTCACTCATTAACCTGGGACAGCTTTTCCAGGTGTCAGACACATGCACAGCTCCTTTTGTTTCCCTGAATTCTGTAGGATTAAATGGCTTTGACTGAAAATTTACTGGTGCCCGAATCTGGGATTTTTCCACACTGACTTTCTCTGGGCCCACAGATCTCTTACTGAAAATCCCATTAAATTTGTGTTTTGATGAAGATAATCTTGGACATTACCCCAGGGACCACTTGTGGAAGCTCACTGCAGAAAACAGACTGAGATCTCTCCTGTGAAATTCAGTCAAGACTATTTGATCAGCTGCTTTACCACAAATCCAACACCAAAAGTGCTCCATGTTTCTGTTCTGTAAGAAGCTGCTGAGTATCTCAAACTGGAATCAGATGATGCTGAATTTGGCCTATAATTGTGTGGGATCCCCATTCCCCCTTGATTTGTCCTATTCTAATGTTTGATTGGCTCAGAATCTCATTTACTGCCAACCCCATGTGCTCTGCATCTCTAATATTCTCATTTCTCTCTTTTGTAGCTTGTGGAGATCATTGTGTTCTGTCTGCTCCTGTATTTTTACAAGGAGAGAAATGCAAACTACATTGTCATTATTCTCCTCCTGGTGGCTTTGCTGGGTAAGTTGATATGGACTTGTAAGATCCTTAAACGGTAAACGG